GCTGGAGACAGGTGCTTCCCCCCCCCCCCCCAGGCCACGGCTCCATCACCAATAAACCCAACAACCCCCAGCACCGTGGCGCAGTCTCGTTTCTGTGGCTGGCGGCGCCCGGCTCAGGGGCTGGGTTGGGCTTTCCTCTGCTGAAGGAGGCTGAGGAGGGTTTCTTGTTTGTCCCCTGGCACTAACGAGGGGGAGTGGGTAACGAATGTCTGCAGCAGGGCTGGCAGCTCCGGAGGGGCAAAAGCCAGTGGCAGCACAGGGCTGGAGGGGGAGGCACTGGGGCCGCACCAGGGGAAAGCCTTTCAGATCAACCTCCTTAAACCTTTCACAGTGAAGCGTTCTGCCCAGCTCTCGGGGTAATCGTGGCGTTTCTTCTTACCCCCGTTAACAAATTTTCACAATTAAAGGATTACTGATTGCTGCTGCTGCCCCCATGGTCCTGCCGGAGGTTCCACCCAAGCAGAAGGTCGGCAGGAAGGGGCCTCGGCAGCCCCCCAGATCATTGTTAGCCTGTTGGCATCATCACACCAAGGATGCAGCTGTTCTGGGGAGGCAGTTAATTCCGTCATCTCTACTTAGGGCTTCTGGCATGGCCGCCCTCGGGCAGAACAGCCCCCAGGACCATCGTGGGGGAGACCCCTGCATCGCTCTGCAGATTACAGAATTGTAGAATCATTCAGGTTAGAAAAGATCTCTCAGATCATCAAGTCCAACTGTCACCCCAACACCCCCATGCCTGCTAAACCATGTCCTGAAGTGCGACATCTACACGTTTCTTGAACCCGTCCAGGGATGGGGACTCCACCACTGCCCTGGGCAGCCTGGTCTGATGCCTGACCACTTTTACGTAAAGAAATTTTTCCTAATACCCAATCTGAACCTCCCCTGACACAACTTGAGGCCGTTGCTATCGCTAGTTACCTGGGAGAAGAGACCAACACCCACCTCCTTTCAGGTAGTCCGATCCCTCAGAGACAGAGCCCTGCTTTAGGTAGACTATGAAAACAATTTATTTGAACACTTCTTATTTGCAGGCTGGGGTTTGGGTGGCAAAGATGGTAGTAGAGAGGGTTGCTTTGGACTTACCACCACCACATCACACAGAAACACTGCAATATTGTTTTAAAAGTGCCTTTTCTTATGGAACAACTCCAGCGGGATGCAACGCAGGCACAAACCACCGCAGGCTCCTGCCTTCCCAGCACTCCCTGACCCAACTGTCCCATGGTCCCCAGATTCCGTCTGAAGAATGGACACTTTCTCCAGGCAGAGAGAAGCAGCCCTTGAAAAAAACACAACAAGACTTTACACTGCAAAATGAAAACTTTCATTGTTTTATTCTTGACTGCAGCTGTTTACAGAAATATAGTTGCGAGTATACAAATGTCCCAATAGAAGCAAAATATTTTTATTTTTTAATATTCAACAAGTTATCACAGGATAGCTAAAAACATAGATGCAAATGAAATATCCCCTCATAGAACAAACCGAAAACACCGGGTATCAGTGCTTTGAAAATCCCACCTACGAAAGCCATATACACAGAAATGCACAAAGGAATATCTGGTGCTACTTTCACATTGCAGGACAGGGGAAAAGGCAGCTCAGCGGTCGATCAGTGCACGCCAGGAACACATGGCAGAAAGGCAGGTAAACCACTCACAGACGCAGCTGGGAACAGAGGTAGAAAGCTCTGCTCCGAAGTTTTTTGGAGCTTACTCATTAGTAACGAGCTCAAATGGAATTATTTCAAATTGCCTCATTTTAAATGGTGTCTGGAATAAAAAAAAAAAAAACAAACCCTCAGGAATCCTGTGGTCTGCTAAGCTACCGGAACACGTTCCCAGCTCCGCAACACCCAGAAGCACCACGCTCGCTCCGTGCAAAAGCGCTGTTACCCCGACCCCCGGGACGGCCGCACGCCTGCGCGGGGACAAGGGACACTCGGGCCAGAGCTCCCCCAACTCAGAGGGGCAGATCCAGGGACTGAAGAGAAGGGAAGGCCGTTTACACGATCTGAGCACAGGACCCTGCGCTAATCCGAATACTGGAACACGACTGGAATATTTTACAGGGGGCGGCTGCTGGGTGTCGGAGTTCTGGCATCTGAAAGAAGCACCTGCGGCAGTCAGCGAGCGTCCCACAGCACACAGGGAAATCCTCCGGTTCCTCACCCTCGCCCCAGCACATCTGAACGTTAGGAGCCAATTTCATGAACTGTGACAGCACAAATTACAGCAGCTCTCCATCTCCGGAGATCAGCCCTGCAAACCGAGGGCTCCCAGAGAAGAACTAAGGACATTCGGTATGGCAGAGGTGCTCCGATAAAGCTGCACCAGGACAGCAATGTCTGTCGATCAACCTAACGCCACACCGCAGCAGCAAACACATGATTTGGCATGAAGAGTCGTGGTGGACAGAACACTATTGATTTTACCATCCGGATTTCTTTTGGAGTTTAATTTCTCACACAATCTGCAAGAAATCAGTACAAGTCGGGGCTGGGTTCCTCATGGCTAGAAGCAAAGGAGAGCTTTCACCAGCTCTCAAGGAGAGCATTTTCTAGATATTGACTGTTGCAGTACAAAGTCATTTTAAAAAAAAAAAAAATCAATTTAAAGGTGCCTGCCTTTATCAGGCTAGGGAGAAGAGGAATGGCAGATTAAGCTCCACTTTCCCGACTCAAGCCGACCCAGCAGAGCAGCAGCCGGGAGCCTCTGCTACGCAGGAACTGTTGATAACCCCCACTGGGAGAGAGCTGCTGGTGTCGGTCCAGCTCCTCCGGAGCAACACAGCCACCGCTGCTCCCTATCGGCACGGGCTGGTGGGAGACTGAGAGCGGCAAAGGTCCCAAACTCAGGAGTCGCTTGAGGAAAGCTGGAGCAGGCGGACGCAGACAGCCCGTGCTGCTGCGTTCCCCGCGCCCATCCCGCGGGCAGGCTCTCAACCAAGGCTGTCAGTTCTACCGTTTTGCTAACGCCACGTCTGCAATTATTAATAAAAATATATAAAAATACAAAAGTGTGCAGCTGTTTGAAAGCCATGAACATTGGTGACGTTCACAAGCAGAGCGCGTTTCTGAAGCAACGTTACCGACAGGGCCACACGTACAGTACTGAAAGGTGCTCATACAACTATTAACGAGTTACTACAAAAACCTCGGCGAATAATCTCATACTAAGGAAAAGTAATATTATTTCAGGTTTATAAAAATGTGAATATAGCAGTATTATATGCATGTGTGGCTACTAATTATTTATATAGAATAGATATATGATTCCTCTATATACATATATATAACCTTAGAATGTACAGGCGTTACGTATTTACATACCTATACAGATTATGAGACAGGAAAAGCCTCTCCTCCTGCGTAAGCCCTCAGAGCCCCATACGCAGCCAGAGAACTTCACGAACACGCTTCTCCAGGAGCTTATCTGCTCCTGCATTTTCCCCTTGCATCTAGCAGTTACCACCGTTCCCGCAGGGATCCCCCACGCCCGACTCCCTGCCCGCGGCATGCACAGCGCCCGGTTTGTAGGCTCCGGTGACTGCTGTTGCGTGAACCGGGCATCACTGGTCCGAATACAAACACGAAGAGCTCACAATCTACCCCAAAAGACTACTCCACATTAAGACAAAAACCCCAAACAAACAAACAAAGCATCTCAGTACCGGTTTCCTTTTACCTTCTCAAATAACAGAGCTGCCACCAGGCCCTCTGGAACACAAAACCCACCTATTCCTTGAAAATAAATTCTGCACTAATGAGAAGTCATCAATGATCACTGTTTCTTCTTCTTCTCACCTTCCACCTGCGACTCAGAGCTCGGAGCATGCAAAGCAATTCGTCCCCCTTGTTCTTGCTCTGTCGCTCAGGTGAACGTCTGTAATCCCTTGTACCCATCTCCTGGAACTACCCTGGAAAAGCAACCCAACCACGTGCCACAGGAAATTGAAAATTCTTTCCTAACTCTTCATGAATGCGCATGTGCATGCCTGCACAGACACACACGCCCCTGGGGGAAACCACGCGTAGCTTTTCTAGCCCATTAACAACTTTTTTCATTTTGCTTTTTATTAAATCACCCTTCCTGCTACCCCAATAGCAATTTAAACCATGTTGTAAGACAAATGCAAGTTTCTGACTTGTTTGGTGTTCTTTATGAGGGCTCCGGAAAGATGGTATGAGAGTTGAAAATCTATTCAGACAAGTTTCCTTTTTTAGAAACTATATCCTAAATCAAAATCACAACAGAAGCTTTTTTTAAAAAAAGAAAAGTTCAACTTCTCTAAATCAGGGGAATGTCCACTGATACAGCTGCCCAGACTCTTAGTATTTCCAGTAAAAAAACCTGCCAAAGTAACAAAGGCATAACTGTTCATGCTTTATTCTATCTTAAAACTAAATAGGAATTAACCACCCTGGCAGTAATTAAAAGTAATTATAATAAAAGGGTTGGTGATTAAGCCTCCACTTCGAAACAGCAAGGCTGAAATTATTTCTTGAACTATTTTTATGTTAAAATAACAGCAAAGCATTTGGCTTGAATAACTGCTGAAAGATCAGGCAGTGAAGAGGCAATTAATAACAAAACGTGGACTTGCTAATTAAGCACAAAACACCAACAACTTCCTACCAGAGGAGATGTTTAGCTAATAACTGTGTATCATGTGCTATTCGTATCATTTTTTAACATATATACACACACACACAGAGTGCATAAGGGGACAAGAGAACGTATGCAGGAGTCACAACTGGTGGCTAGCAGGTACGTCTCCCTAGATTTTAATCTGTGCCACGAAACCGCTGTTCTGTAAACCACCACATCCCACAGGTGCTGCAGAGCCATATACAGCTGGAGAGCGTAGCCCACGCTTAACAGGAGGATCCGATGTAACAATTCTTTAGGAGCAAGCCCAAGCAGCAGAAAAAACAAGATACAGGAAACCCAACCCAGTAACGCAGCTCTGCAGTTTTTCGTTTGTCATCTAGTCAGATCTTCTATATTTAATTGCTGCTTTGCAGATCTGATAGTAACTTCCCCTTTATACTAATGCCACAAACTTTAAATTTATAGAGACTAATGTCTCAGTATCTTCTAACTTTCTCAACCACAATGGACTAGACCTGCTACCACCACCTCATTTCTGCAGGCAAGGACTCCGTCTGCCCATAGCTAACAGGCAGGCCAGGGTGAGCATGCACAGGAGTAAACACAGGGGTAAAAAAAAAAAAAAAAGCAGAGTAAGCTCCAATTATCAAGATCAACTGCTTAAATCACAAGTGTTCAGGACTCCGATAAAATACAGATGTGGCTCACACTGTTCTTGGGTTTTTCTGCCATGACATCCTGCAGCCTGTCTTTAAGCCCTTTACTGGTTTATCAAACCTCTCTTTATCCGCAGAAACAGC